GAAATCACTGGAAGGTTTTAAGCAGGGAGATGACAAGTAGACTTTTTCTAAGTTTATTTTTTATTTAAAATGTTTAATGTTTATTTTTGAGACAGAGTGTGAGCAAGGGAGGGGCAGAGAGAGAGGGAGACGCAGAATCCCACACAGGCTCCAGGCTCTGAGCTGTCAGCACGGAGCCCGACGCGGGGCTTGAACCTACAAACCATGAAATCATGACCTGAGCTGAAGTCGGACGCCCAACTGACTGAGCCACCCAGGCGCCCCTATTTATTTATTTCTGAGAGAGAAGAGAATGTGGGGAAGGGGTAGAGAGAGAGAGAGAGAGGGAGAGAGAGCATCCCGAGCAGGCACCAGCTGTCAGCACAGAGCCCAATGCGGGACTCGATCCCATGACCATGAGATCATGACCTCAGCAGAGATCAAGACTTGGATGCTTAACCAACTGAGCCACCCAGGCACCCCGTCCAACTTTTTAAAAATCCATTTACGTAAGCTCTGCACCTAACACGGGGCTTGAACTCATGGCCCTGAGATCAAGAATCGCACGCTCCCCCACCTGAGCCAACCAGGTGCCCCTCTTCGACTTTTTTATCATGGAAATTTTCAAATAAATACAGAGGTTCGAAAAAACAATCATCATGAGGCCAGTGTACCCTTTTCAGTCTGGTCAGTAATTATAATTACATTGAATATAATTTTATCTATATAGCCATCCAGCCTCCTCCTCCTCAGATTATTTTGAAGTAGATCTCAAAGTGTATATTATTTCAGAGGACCACTCTTAAAAGATTACTCACACTGCTCTGGGCAGAATAGATTACTAGGGGATTAGAATGGGGAAGCAGGGAGAGGAGGAGGAGGAGTCCATCGAATAGGCCAGGCGGGGAAAGACGTGCTGGAATCTGGTGGTGGAGGTGGAAATGGTGAGGAGTGGTCAAATAGGGTATATTAGATTTTTTATTTTTTCTAATTTAAGTGAAACTTTAAAAATTAAAAAGCAATTTTAATGTTATATCATTCATTTTTTGCAAGAGAGAGAGGGAGACACAGAATCTGAAGCAGACTCCAGGCTCCGAGCTGTCAGCACACAGCCCAACTCAGGGGCTCGAACTCACAGATCGTGAGATCATGACCTGAGCCAAAGCCGGGCACCCAATCCACTGAGCCACCCTGGCGCCCCTAAATTTTTTTTAATATTTATTTTGAGAGAGAGAGAGAGAGCTTATGAGTGGGGTAAGGGCGGAGAGAGAGAGAAAGAGAGAGAATCCCAAGCAGGCTCCATGCTGTCAGCACAGAACCTGACATGGGGCTTGAACTCACAAACTGCAAGATGGTGAGCTGAGCTGAAATCAGGAGTCGACGCTTAACCAACTGAAGCACCCAGGCACCCTTTAAATTGTTTAGTTTTAAGTAAGTTCCACTACCAACGTGGGACTTGAACTCAAGACCCTGAGATCAAGAGCTCTACTGACCGAGACAGTTTTTATTTATTTATTTATTTATTTATTTATTTATTTATTTATTTATTTACTTACTTACTTACTTATTTATTTACTTATTTATTTCGAGAGAGAGAGAGTGAGCACACTGGAGGAGCAGAGAGAAAGAATCCCAAGCAGGGCTCGAACTCACAAACCATGAGATCATGATCTGAGCTGAAATTGAGTCAGATGCTTAACCGATTGAGCCATTCAGATGCCCCAAATTTAAGTGAAATCTTTTTTCAAAGTAAACAACTATATATATATGTACATATACATACATATTTGTATATATATATATATATGTATGTATATATGTATATATACACATACATGAGGCCTGGACAGCCATGTGGTCTCGGGCATATGTATATACATGTATATATAGGAAGGGTATATACATGTATATATGTACACATATTTTTTAAACTTACTTTTTATTGTTTCTTTTAATTTAATTACCAATTTGTTATATACACTGTGGTCTTGGCTTCAGGAGTAGAGCCCAGGGATTATCTCTCACATAGGACACCCAGTGCTCATCCCAACAAGTGCCCGCCTCAATGCCCATCATTCATTTTCCCCACACCCATCAACCGTCGGTTTGTTCTCTGTATTTAAGAGTCTCTTATGGTTTGCCTCCCTCTCTGTTTTTATTTTATTTTTCCTTCCCTTCCCCTACGTTCACCTGTTGTGTTTCTTAAATTCCACACGAGGGAAATCATGATATCTGTCTTTCTCTGATGGACTTATTTCACATAGCGTAATACACTCCAGTTCCATCCACGTTGATGAATTAAGATTTTATTTTTAAGTGATCTCTGCACCCAACGTGGGGCTCAAACTCACAACCCCAAGATCAAGAGTCACGTGCTCTTCCGACTGAGCCTGCCGGGCGCCCCAAATCTGGGTGTATTTGTGATGTAGAACTGACACGAATTCCCGATGGACTGGACGTGAAAACTGAGGGAAACGGAGGCATACCAGGTTTTGGGCCTTAGCAACTGGGCATTGGGGGTGCCTTTCCGTGAGGTGGGGGGAGCGCTCTGGAGGAGAGGTTGAGGGGGTGGTTGAACTTGCAAGTCTGGAGTCCAGGGGAAAAGCCAGGGCTGCAGATACGGATTTGGGATTTGGGAGTCGTTAGCACATTGGTGGTATTTACAGGCATGGGCTGGGCTGAGGTCAGGTAAGGAGGCATGGAGATGAGGAGATAAGGGCCCAGGCCAAGCCCCAGGACACTGAGAGGAGTCAGCATCCAGTCTGGGGACTCTGGAAGTGCTGAGCACTGGTCACCACCAGTTCTGCACACCCCTGCTTCCTAGAAGATTAGTCTCTCTTGAGATACAGGGACACAAAGCAGGAATGAACAGAGGTTCAGCTCTGCTGGGTCCTTGTGGTGACCAAAGGGAACCTGGCTGTCACATCCCCTGAGTAGCTGGGGCCCTCCTCTTTAACAGCCCAGTGATGGGTTCTCTGGTCGTTTGAGATCTGGGGCTCAAGCAATTGGCAGTCTCTACCCTCGCCCCAGCTCCAGTTTCAAAGCCCTCACCATCTCCTCAGCTAAAATGGGTAAGAGAGCACATGGCCCGAGGGGGGCCGGACAGCCGTGTGGTCTCATGGAAAGATAGGACCACTGAGTCCCAGGAGTGAGCAGGTGCTGTGAGGGATGAGCCAGACCTGAGCCTACCTTGTCCTCAGGTGCTCCAGGGTGGTCAGCCGACCTACACCACCCCGCCTGCCTTCCCAGAGCCTCACGCTGATGCCCCAGCGGTATGGAGACCTCTTCTGGGAGAGCCTTAGCCAAAGGCCCAGGTGGGTAGAAACAGAGCAAAGGAGCAGGGAAGGGAAGGCCGGACAATTTTAAACTAAGCCCTGTGGCAGTGAGCCCTAGTCTGGGGACAGCTGGCCCACTGGCTGACGGACACTGGGGCAACTACTGCCAGATAGACAGGTGGTTGGGACGGGCAGTCAGAGAAGCAATACGGATGGGGGTGTCCTCTCTGCACGTAGCTCCCCGTTTGTGCTTTACAGCCCCACCTGGACGGAAGAATGGCACATCCCTCCCTCACCGGTAGGACAAACTCTGCCCTTTTAAAGCACTTTTGGGTTAAAATCGCACCCACCACCGTCTTATCCTCAGCCCTCCTGGTCACCTCTTCCCTGCTGCCCCCCAACCAGTGCACTGACCACGCACCCTCCTTTCTATGCATCTGTCACCATGTTTTCCAGATCACACCTGTGTTGTCACGATCTGGGCTCCCCAAGACCTCTGACTCCCTACTTCAGTCCAAGTTCTCCTGAGAGACCCAGTTCTGCCCTCTAGCCCCTGCCCCCACCCCATTCTCTGGCACAGAGAGCCACTGGTTGCTCCCAGCCTGGCCTGTACCCCCTTGAGAGGCTCCCACCCCCTGAGGTGCTTTGCAGAAGAAAGAGAAGGAGGCCACATTTGGCGGGAATGCAGCAGGGACCTGCGGGCATCCCAGCCCAGGTGAGGGCTGTCACTTATCACCTGGAGGATCTAAGGAGGCGACAGAGAATCATCAATGAGTAAGGAGGGACATCTGGGCAGAGTCTGGGGACAGGAGGGTCTGAACTAAGGAAGGGGGTGGGGGCTTTGAAGGAAGTGGCGGCTGTATGAGAAGAAGGCCCGGACTTGGTGCAGAACGTCCCCCGTGTGGAGGGGAGGAGGGAGCTGAGCACGCAGGCTGAGCCTCAGGAGCTGGACAAGGTGGAAACTGGGTCACCGAGGCAGGAAAGCAGTCCACAGAGCTGGAGGACAGTGGGCAGCCAGAGGCCACCTCTGAGTCCCTGGACGGAGGGTGCTTCCGCCCAGGGCAGCAGGGACTGGGGGCGGGGGGGGGGGGGGCGGTGCAAAGGGTTGGGAGCGAAGCCATAACACCACTGGGTCCCAGCAGGAAGTATTTCGGGGCAGAAAGGTGAAGCCTGGAGGGGCAGAAAGCTTGGCCTTCAGGCGCCGCGTTCCTAAGTCTCCGGTCCCCACAGACTGAAGAAGGCTCAGTGGGACGTCTCGGGGGCCGCACCTGAGCCCCTGGCACCTGCCACTGCCGGCTGCGGAGTCCCCAGCGCCACCGAGTACCCGGGTCTGGAAGAGGCGAGGGCTACCTATCCACAGGAGGAGGGCCACCCTGTCACCACTGGCAGGACCCAGGTCTGGCCGGAGGAGCTAGGCGGGGTGCTGGAGGGTGACGGGGATGGACGCCCAGGGCCCGTTTGGGTGGCTGGACTGGAGACGCACAAACGCGGGCAGGGAGAGGCGAAGGGGGCGGGGGCGCTAGGACACCTGGAGAGACCTCCTTTCCCGTTCTTCCGTTCCTTTCCTAACTTCTCTCATCCTTACAGCTGCTCTGGTCCCCCTGGAGCCCCCTGGGCCTGGGGGGGGTCTGGTGTCCCCAGACGACTGGGCTCTCTGGCCTCCTACAGCGCTGTCCCAGCGGGCAGGAACCGCCTCCGCTCCCCCTGGGGCATGGAGGTGCAGTCTGCGGAGTAAGGAGGAACCCCCAGGCCCTAGGTGTCCGCGCGCTGCCTGGTGGGGGGAGGGGGCGGGCAGGCTCGCCGGCAGACCTGGAGCCTCCCCCTTGTGACGCCGAGGCCTTTCCCTTCCGCAGCCTCTCCCAGCGACCTCCCCGCGCTCGGCACTGGGCGCTAACAGCCCCCTTGGCCGCCCGTGTCAAGCCATCCCCCAGGGCTCCGCACGGCCTATCGCCCTCCCCCCCCCCCCAACCGCCCGCCCGCGCTGGCTGGCACTGTGTTCTTTGCTCTGCTCGGGTATTAAAAAGCAAGCGCGTTGAGCCCGAAGTGTCTTTCTGCTCGTGGAGCAGTGATGGCGAGGCTGGCGCGCACGGAGGGCTGCGTCACCTCGAGGACCCGGCTAAGATGAAGTCGGGCTGGACCCTCCGAACTCGAAGAGTCCCGCCGAGCCCCGCTCTTCCAGCCCCGGGGCGGCCCGCGCCCCGCTCTCTCGGCCCGGGCTCGGACCGCACTTCCGCCCCCCGGGACCCCCCAAGTCTGCCCCCCAAGTCCGGCCGCCGGACCCCC